TTTTTTAGTTTTGATTTTGAGCAGCAAATTTGGAGTTACATATTGGTGCTCACCAGGAATGCATAGGCAAAATTGCACAAATTTTCACTTGAAAGAATAGTGGCGATCTTGGGATTTTTTTCTGTTCAATTTTCAAACTGTGTAAATTTAATACACTTCATCTTCAGCATGTTGAGTGCCACTTTTGTAAGTAACCACGCCCCCGTCCCGGCCACGCCCCGTCCAGGCCACGCCCCTTCCGCTTTTTTCATCACTCGCCATTGCCATGTATGTCAGGTGCCGAACGCGGACGCGGGCCCCGCCAATAACAGGTTGCGATGTCATTTTTGGGCGTTTGTCTGGCAACCGCGGAGTATTTACGGCCCGTTTCGGGATCGCTGCTCAAGCTGGAGTTTACCTGCCATGCGCGCTCCCTTGATACGAATAAGGACGAGCTGGGAGCCGCGAGGCGGTGTCGACACTTTCATTCTTATGCCAAAAAGTGCAGTGAAAAGTCAGGACGGCCTTTGGGGGAATCGCCTCGGCGTCGGCGAAGGCCTTCGTCTTTGGACGTCCGCAAGTGACGTCCTCGCGCGTGCCTTGATCGAGACGACGAACGTGCGAACTTAACGATTTGACGACGACGACCAGGGACCCTGAAAGCGGCCTGCGGTACAAGTTTTGGGGGGTAGTCTGGTGGGAGGGGGGTTTGGGGGATTAAAAAAATCACCCCCCCCCCAAAAAAAAAATTGGTAATGACGGAATCAAACCCCGGACTTCTGCACTGTGAAGCTGTGCTAATCACCGTATCGCCCAATCGTTTCATAAAAAAAGACTCAATATTTTTTTTCAAGAAACGGATTTTGCTTGCATGCATCATTTCACTTTGACGTTCGTTTTTAAATAAAACGATCAAAGCCACAATTTAGCACTCGCTAACAAATACTGCAATTGTGACTTGTCCAAATCGATATCAATTTAAATAATAATGGACTAGTTAGTAATTAATGTGTCAAAAACAAAAAAGCACAAAGGTCTAAAGAGCCCGAGAAATGCATTACTTTTGCGATACGCCGAACTCACAAGTATTAGTAATCTAAATTTGCAATCCACACGCATGAATCCAAATGGAGCTTTTTTGAATTGCTGCGAATGTTTGCTTTGTTGCTGAAGCCAATTGAGCAGTTTGCGCAACCCGATCATCAGATTAAAAAGGAAGCGGGGAGTCCCAATTAAACTGCAAATATCAAATGGAAACCCTTCAGACTGTTAGTGACGAGCTAGCGCGAAAATCGTGCAGTGGTCGCTCTTTCTCCGCAGAAACGCGCGTTGAGAAAAAGTTTGTTTGCGCATACCTGAGTCTGGCCTTGTGCTTTCCGTCGCTGCCTTTCTTCCAGCAAATGGCCACTGGGCAACGATTTTAAGACACACTGCAATGTCCTAATCCCAGCCACATGCCAGCAGCGCGTACGGTGGACCGATTACATGCGCACCAACCAGACGGGGGTTAGAGGGACGGAGCGG